ACTAGTAATAACCTGCAAATTATTGTTAATGTATTACCCAAAGAATAAACTGTGTGTTAAAATCAGGAATTTATCGACACAAAAGCAATGAAGGTGAATACTATCTCTATCAACGAGAACTATCATATGATACCACTAAATATAGTCAAGCTTTTCCCGGAGCAGATAAACAGAGATATATCCTTATTGTGAATAAAGTGGATAGATTAGAAGCGTCAACCAATCACTTTGATGGAATTAGATCCTGACAATAGTTTATATAAATTTGATCAAGGAGAAGAATTAGGAGGATGGAACCTTGGCTACTGCATACTTATATCAATATCAAGTCAGGAAGATAACTGGTCAATTCCTAATCAATCACAATTAGTGGATGGATTGTAAAAACACCGAAAGATTTCTACGTTAATTTGATATAAACGCAAACATTTTTGCCATTGTACCTTTTGCTGTTGTGTTAAAAAAAATACTAAATAGAGAATTATAATGGACGCAAAAAAATTCCCATTATTCATTCTATCAGCAATGGCATGATTTAGCTGACAATATAACTTGAATATAAGAAAAAGAAACTAGTTCTTGTTGAATTATATTTCGGACACTTATTTATTTATATTTATTTTGACACATAGATATTGGTACACGGAGGCACCAGTTACATATTCGCCACACAAATCTCATTTGATTTGTGTGAGGGCTGTGATAAGTCCAGGTGCCCAAACCGAAACAGATGGTTTCCTTAGGGGGCCACACCCGGAGCCTTCAACCTGAAGGTCTGATCCATAAGGCAGTGGAGCAATGTAAGGAGATGCAGTCCCATGGCTACCGGCGACCAACAATTGGTTCATACGCCATTTGTTCCTTCAGGATATTGGAGCCCATGTGGACCACTGGTTTGGAATCAGGGTTTTCCAACTTCCATAGGTGGACTTTCCATGTCCACCAACCCGGTTAAAGCGCCGGACATTCGCTTTTCGTCCTCTCAATTTATTATATTAGATGAACTAAGCTTTCCATATCAATATCATGTCATTTTAACAAAAGACCTATTTAACACCCCTAAACGATTTACGAATTCACAAAACTCTTCTTCATAAGATAATTGGTTAGATTACTTCAATTGATCGACGTGAGCTTAAAATGTTCAAAATCACAAGAACTTTGTGTTTGTGTTTTTATTTACTCACTAGAATCAAGTATCTATATAATATATATTGGTGTTGAACTAATTGCAAAGCTTAGAACGTAAAAATCCACTAATTATATAATATCTTATACACGTTAAGATAACAGCGGCTCATTGGTTAAAGTGATCAACTTTAAACCCCTAAGTCACAGGTTTGAACTCTCCCTCACCTTTCATTGGTTTGGACAACTGAGTAGTACTATTAGCCTTTACACTAAAGTGTATCTGAAAACTAATTACACAAAACTGGACCTGATAAATGAGTTCACAAAACCTTTTTTGATGGAAATTTTCCAGGTCGGAGAAAGAAACTCCACCAACATCATCATCCTGAGCTACAAATCTCTATAATCTCAGATTCTATACAAAGTTTACCACTTAAAGGAAAACAGATAGACATAGATGCACTGATCATTAATAAAAACTACACGTCGAAACCACGAAACGAAGGGCTAAAACATTAAAGTTACTGATTAGAACACCTAATAATAACTCCAAGATATCTCCTAACTAGTGAGAACTGTATTGTTCAAAGTTACAATTTTATTTAGAGTATATTTAATTAGCACTAAGATATTATTAATGTTATGTGGTTAAAGGCAGTTGTCAAGAGCCCATGGACCTGTTTCATGTTGTTCGACAACCTCACTAGCAAAGTGGATGTTCGATCATGTAGCGATTGACGATCCTTGTATGATTTAAACTAGTATCATCAAATATCATAGTTATGTTGAAAAGTAGCCATCCAGGTAGCTATTTAGGAGGATTCGATCAACACTCAAGTCTAAACAACAGAACATTAGTTACTTCTCAGTGTTCATGTTTAATACAGAAACCATTCTGTATCTCAACTGACGACGTTGTTTTTTTTTTCAAATAAAAAGAATCCGTTTGATTGATACAGTCGTATGAACTCTATATACTGAGAATATATGATACCAGTAAACAATAGATAGGTTAGCGGTAAAAAAAACAGATAGTGAGAACACAGTTACTAATTGATGAGTCACTTCTTTAACTAAATTAAAAAAATCTGATAAACACCAAAGTTTTAAATTCACTTGGTATTATTTGTTTGAATCTTCCCATTGACGTTCAGGACTCCAATTAGTCTGTCTCTTGTTGGAATACGTGCATACAGTGCCTATTCCCTCGATATAGTCTTAATTCACAAGCATTATATGCAAAGATGGACAGTGGCTAGCAGTGGAATCCAGAACGCTCATTTCGTCCTACTTGAGACTCATCAGCTGGATGTACCAGCATCTCAAAGTTGGTGTTAGCTCTAGGACTTGAAGTGGATAACGCGACGGCGTTTGAAGCGAACGGAGCTGTGTTCGAGTTCCAGAGTAAACATCAAACCTGAGATGCAGATACATCCAGCTGACGAGTCCCAAATAGAATTTATTTTTAAAATCATCAAACTTGCCCTTATAAAGGAATACAAAAACTGTCAAATAACATTTAAAGATTTTTTGAGGATTCAATTCGTTAAATAACGGTTCTACAGAGAGAACACTCATGATAATATGATGATAATGAGGAACTAATTTGTATAGACCCTTTTTATGCTATTAGAAATAATAGTCCAATGAAAGGAGCCTTCACAACAAATTCATTTACAAAACTATACAATTACGTATCTATGGATAAAGATATGAGTTTAAAGACAACTTGTATGTCTGTTATCTAAAAACATCTTTTATGACAATAGAACAAAAAATAGAAAAATTTATATTTTCGTAAGGATGAGAATGCAACGTAGCGAAGTTAAAAAGCATAATAAGGCGAAAGATCTAACAAATTTTCACCGGACACACAAAGTTAATCTGAGATGTTGTATGGTTTATACAATGTAAGGTAAGCATAAGAGATAAGATGTAATTAACCTACGTTGTACTTTTCCTAAGCCATGTTAGGAAATCCTCTATAATGTATGAAAGAATATACCTCAACAAACAGTCTAGACCTCTTCAAACAGTTTCCATGTGGTATTACCAGCAACATTACTAAATTCAGAGTTTACAAAGAGTATCTTTTTGACAATTATGTATCTAGTAGATAGATTACATCCTTCATTATACATCTATTTCACATTGTATAAGCTCTAACCACAGAAAATCTCAGATAAACTTTGTGTGACAATTTGTTAATGGCTTTACATTGAATAAAGCCATTGATAATAATAATAATAATAATAATAATAATAGTTAAGTCCCTCGCCTTGTTATGTTTTAACTTCGCTACATTTTATTCGCATACTCGCAAAAAATGTTTCTTTCTTTTTGTTGTTATTCTACTATCATAAAAGGTATTTCTACATAAAAAAACCCCTGGTTATTATTCATGGATTAAATGTTTTTTATTTTAACTTTTGGGAAAATTACAAAAATATTGATTTTGCTTACCGTGAGGTTAAGGTTAGGTTTTATATTTTTATTTAACAACTACATCTTGAAACTTTTCTATTCAATGTTATGATTATAATTTATGATTTGCTTTTCAATGAAGGGAATCTTCACTGAAAATACGAGTGTTATGATTTAAAGAATATTTAGAAACAAAAATGTATCCAGTGACAATATACTATTTTAATTTATAGTTGCATAAAAAGCAGTAGAATATATGAACTCTTTATACAGTAATTAGGGAGAGTTATATTGCCCCCAAATGCCCTGGTACGGCAGACAGTGGGGAGAGTCAGCTCTCCTTCTCGAAATGCTCTCATATGGCCACGCGTATATAGCTTCTGCCAGGGAAGTCCTACTCAATACCCTCTCGTGGCGGGGGTGTTGTTTATGAAATTGAGAGGAAGAAAACTGGATGTCCGGTGTTTTAACCGGGTCGGTGGACACAGAGGATCCATCTAGGGGAGTTAGAAAACCCTGACTCCAAACCGATGGTGCACATGCACTCCGAGATCCTGAGGAAACAAATGGCTTATGAACCTATTATTGGTCCCGGCTACCATGGGACTGCATCTCCTTACATTGCTCCACTGCCTTGTGGATCAGACCTTTATATCAAAGGCTTGTGGTATGTCCCCCCAAGCAAACCGCCTGCTTCGGTCTGAGCACCCGGGCAGTATCACAGAATACACATAAATCAAGTGACTTGTGTAGCACATATGTATTCGGAGCCCCTCTGAACATTATTTGTGTTCAAATAAATAAAGTTATATTTTACTGTCAGAGAGCTAAAAGTAAAACAAATGGTTATCTTTAATGATCAGAACAGATAAATCTTCTAACTCAGACTGACAATACATGAGGCAACTTAGAAAAGAATATTCGTAGTTGAGTTTCTATTGTAACCAAAACCAGTACTTATTTACAGATCGGTCGTTTTGGTCTATGTTCATCATTAGGTTTTCACTAATTTTTTTTCAACGGTCCTAGAAAAATCCTTTATATTTCAGTGCTACACACCGAAAAGACTAAACGTAGGTAAGTCACCAGGTCTTAATCATTACTAATCATATATTATTAACTGACTGTGCAATACGTGGAACCATTAGACTTAAATATTACTCTGTTTAAAACTAAACAGAGAGATTTATCATTCTAGGGAGAATTATGCTTACAACGCAACGCGAATACACACCATCTTGTGGCATAACTAGAGTTACAGGAAGTAACACACAGACCGTCCTAATATATACAGAACCTAGATTTTGAGTTTTCTGTTAGTTTGTCTTAAATATTAAACGAAACAACTTATCCTCAGTAATAAATATGCATCTGAACATGTGAAACAAACTAAAACATGAATATATATAATAGATGCATACATACAATTACGTATCAAACGTTACCTAGGATGACGAAAATCATCTAAATTACGACGTAGACCAATCAAATTACTAACAACAAGATTGAATTCATTTACATGAAATGTGAGCTTAGATTCAGCTTTTAGAAACTCAGGTAAGACAACTGGACGACCCATATCACCAAGTGTCTCCAGCTGATCACGTGGGCCAAATCTACCGCCACTATCCGCTAATCCCGAATTACCTAGTTGACCAACTATATTGACAACTAAGAATTAAAAAAAAAACACGAAGTGTATAAGAACCACAATGTTACAAATCGAAAATTACTCCTGATAATTTGGAGATAGATAACAAGCAAAAACACCGCCACACTGATTTTTTATTGTGTAACTATATAGTTAAATATTTCTAATTCTATATGATTAATTTACTATACACCATCCCAGGGAAGTCCTACTCCCTGCCTTCTCGTGGCGGGGGTGTTGTTGACGAAAATGAGAGGATGAAAAGCGAATGTCCGGCGCTTTAACCGGATTCCAAACCATTGGTGCACATGGGCACCAGTATCCTGCGGAAACAAATGGCGTATGAACCAATCGGTGGTCACCGGCTACCATGAGACTGCATCTCCTAACGATGCTCCACTGCCTTGTGGGTCAGACCTTTAGGTTAAAGGCTCGGGGTGTGGCCCCCTAAGATAACCACCTGCTTCGGTCTGGGCATCCGAGCAGTATCACAGCCCACACACAAATATGATGAACTGTCGATAATTATGGAAAATACTTTTCTTGCTTCAACTATTAATCAAACGATTCACATTATTATTACTATTGTTATTATTTATTACGTCATTTATTCACTCTTTTATTCCTACTCTGTCTATCCTTATTTTTCGGCTTATACAGCAGTTCGCCTGTGGTGGATTTTCGATTCTATCTAAACGTTTTCGAGTAGAGACGTTATCAGATATGGCTCAGAATAGAAGCCATTGGCGATCCTGCTGTAACCTTTTAATTTCTTCATAAAAAGTGGTTGCTTCTTCCTTAACTGAAAGATCTCTTCTGAGTGTACGTTTCTGTTTCCCCCATTATTATTATTACACTACCTTACACTAATCTGTTCGTTATCTTTTTTTTACGCTCCTTACCTTTTTTTTCCTTTTCTGCAATCCTCATTGTTTTGTGTGGCGCATACATATTTGGTGCCCTCCTGTACCAATATTTATGTGTTCAAGTAAAAATTAGTTATAACTATTTTTCATCAATTAAAGGACATTTACTTTCATAAACTTATGGATTATGTTAAAGATGTTAAGTCGTTACTCATCACAAATTATGATAGTGATTGTAGGAGAAATTTCCTAATGAATCATTCTAGAAAATTACCAACTATCGTAGCTGAAACGTCCTCGGTCTAATCCCCAAGTAATGATAGAAATAAGTAATCTATTTGTTGAGAAAACGGTTAAAAGCCTATCATAACAGTATATATCCATTTACTATTTGTTTATTTCTCAAATTTTGAACGTCTTGTAACTTCATTATTACTCTTATTTCTCACGTCCTCTTATTTATCTTATCATTTCTGTCTTCATTTTCTTTTTCTCTACTGTTTATATGTACCGAATAGATCCTATGAACTTTGTTCAATATATTGAGAAAAGGTCGAACGAACAAGTTAATTAGAGAAATCCTAACCAACAAAAAAGGCCACATACTAGGTCACAGGAAGTGACATTCAAACTATGTGTTGTTGTTGTTTTTTTTAAAAAAAACGATGAAGCTCTACAAACTATTCAATTTTTGCGAAACAAAACCACTGAAATACTCATCCGATGCTCATTATTTTTCCTCCCAAAATCCGTATGCGTTGATAACATCATCACAATTTTCTTCGGACATGGTATTGCATGTGCTTGTCAGATTGTATCCAGAAGACAGAAGCCATTACTAGTGGTGGTGTTATAAATACCTCCGGATTTATCGGTACAAAGATGTTACACGACAAACCATGTTTGCAGATATAGACTATCGTTTCGAGGTCCTTGTAATTATCAAGACCAATAGTTAGGGACATTTGACGACATAACTCAGAATTGATAGAGGTGGTTTAGGAGCATTCACTCTTTGTCCGTTTTAGATTTGCATTTGTATATTTTCTTTTTCGATTCATTCCCTCTTATCAAATAATATTTTTTACGATCATTGATACTATTAATTCTATTATTTACCATTTGTTTTGATAATTGCATCTCACTATGCTAATATGGTGTAGCAAATTAGGCCAATGCACATACATACTAGACTCTACTGAATATGACCGATTGACTGATACAATGCATGAGACAACTTAGTGACAAAATCAGTTCAGGGTCATTAGATAATTTAGCGTGACCAATAATGTTGATAGCCCTTGTTGACTTGGAAGTGATTTCAGAGTCAAAGGAACAGGTACCTGAAACTTTTTTTAATGAATAACTGGTCTTGTAAAACAGACTACATACTTTTAAGAGCTTACTGTACGGAAAATTCGTTAAGTAAGGTGATATTCTGTCTTGAAGACTATCTCGTCAAAATTAAGTCAATGAGAATATAACATCTGCTCTTGTACAACACTTGAAAAAGGAACAAAATATCACAGGGAGCTCCACTGTACAAATAAAAAAACAGAATTATTGTTGATTGAACACAAGTACTTGGTAATAGTGACCAAGAAGTGTTGTTTTTCACTTCCCAGATTTGTTATCAACAATGTCATCCAATTCAGCCAAAGTACCTAAAAAGTATATATTCAAGTGATCGTACGTGCAGCGCACTGAATAAATTTGTTTAATCAGATAGAAACCCAGTACATACCAGATTGTGAGAATTCAAAGAAATATACACATGAGTGATACAAACATTAGTGGATTAAGAAACCATTTAACATAGTTTAACAACGAAGCTGAAACCTCATTCAAAGATAAACATTAGTGCAGAAGCAACTAAAACCACTTTATGCTGACGAAACTAGCTTTAAATCTTAACGAACCAGAAATACCTGCGTCTTAACCTTACAAAGCTTAGAAGAGAGTATGACACAAGGCTATTTAGTTGTTCCCTATTGCCCTAAACGCTTGTTTTTAGACAAGATGAGAGTTAAAATAATGTGGTATTTAAATACAGACTATATGGAGACAGTCACACATCGTTATTGACCGAAAACAAATTCAAAGAAGCTAAGGATTCACAGACTTTTCTAGCTGGGTATACATAGCGATTGATCATTACTTTATTTATTTATTTGAACACATAAATATTGGTACAAGGGGGCACCAAATAAATATGCGCCATTAAAAATACAGTCTATGGACTCCTTAATAGACTTGACATAGAAATTACCGTGATCAAACTAAGTGCATTTTAAGTTACTGAAGAAACTCTAATTTATCGTGACCTTGCATTATGAAACGCTGCGGAATGTTCTGGATTAACGAAAATGAATTTTACATCACAAAATACTTTTAAATAATTAATAAACAAACGTTTCCTGAATTACTGTGTTTGCCAAAATTATTGCTATTAAAAAGCTCATATTAGATCGATCAGTTATTCAGTCAGCTACAACGTAGGACCAGGTAGATAAATGCAACGGTTCAAGTTGTCACACTGTGGCGTTTGTATGAACTAATGATTCCTTTGCACTTGGTGTTTTTTATTTCTTTATTTTTTTGAACACATAAATATTGGTACTAAGGGGCACCGAATACATATGTGCCACACAAGTCACTTGATTTGTGTGTAGTCTTGGTGGGGGCTACACCACAAGCCTTTGACATAGAGGTCTGATCCACAAGGCAGTGGAGCAATGTAAGGAGATGCAGTCCCATGGTAGCCGGGACCAATAATAGGTTCATAAGCCATTTGTTTCCCCAGGATCTCGGAGTGCATGTGCACCACTGGTTTGGAATCAGGGTTTTCTAACTCCCCTAGATGGACCCTCTGTGTTCACCGACCCGGTTAAAACACCGGACATCCAGTTTTCTTCCTCTCAATTTCATAAACAACACCCACGCCACGAGAAGGCATTGAGTAGGACTTCCCTGGCAGAAGCTATATACGCGTGGCCATATGAGAGCATTTCGAGAGGGAAGCAGACTCTCCCCACTGTCTACCGTACGAGGGCATTTGAGGGCTTGTACTTGATGACTGCCTGATTTCGAATTCCAAATACAGTACACTCGTTCGTGCTCATCTATTACTTTTTGGTAAATTTACGTTATTTCTGGGATTCCCAGTTTGTACATTGATTCAAATACTTTAAACTATTAAACTGGCATCGCGAGCAGGATCCTGTGATGAAACATTTGGACATACATTCAGATTTTGATCTTTCGAGGATTATATGGAAAATTTTGAAATCTGGACTATGACCAAGGAAGATGTTGAGGATGTTAATATTGTGGCTCATTTCCTTACATTCATCGGAAAAGCATGCAGCTTAATAAAGGCTTTGGCATTTCCAAAAAAGCAGATTTCACTCACTTATGCAACTCTCAAGGAACCACTTCTAGACCATGTAAAATGTACAGATTTTGAATGATGTAAATGAGGAAAACTTCATAAAATGGTTCATCAGGACTACATCATCACAATCCAATGCATCCTCAAGGTTATTCAGATAACAGTTCATTGAGGAGTTGAGAAGCGGGTGAAGATGAGCACAAGTTTGGTAAATGTTTATCCCGTGGCAAGTTTCACTCATTAGATTTATGTATATTTCGCAATTCTAGATGCTTTAAACGTGGTATGATTGGACACATTCAGTCAATTTGTGATACCACTGTTCATTTCGCCGCAAATGATGCTTAACTTTGTAATTTTGATCCTCTCAAGTATATACACCGACACCATTGTGGTCGATTCTGTGTCATGTCACTCAGAGTCTCCAGCCACTGGTTATGATAGTCACACGGACCCCAACCAAGTGGTCTGCATCTATCAACATAAATGAGACTAGAAGTTAGTAACTTCAAGTATTGATGCCACGTTTTAGTTTGGCCGCTCCTAAATTTCTTCCAACCGTCTCCAACACTAGTCAGCACTGCGCTTCATGGTAATCGGTGTCCAGGTATACGTAAGAACACGTGGCTCAACCGTCTATGAACATTCACAACCTCATCGACTGATTTACTATCATTTTGTAATACCCTGTGTCTAACCTTACTATTACTTACCCGGTGATCTCAGAAGGCACAAGCAATAATTCTAAGGAAGCTGTGGTCAAATACTGGTAGTTTACAAGCATCTTCTACTCTTTATGACCACGTTTCGCAGCCGTAAAGTAGATCAGAACAATGCATTTCAACAGTTACGGTAACCGGTCTTACACTCCCCTGGTGACTTCAGTATCCACACTTTTAAGTGCAGCTTGATTATGTTTCTTTCCTTAATTCTTGGGCATCATCTCGGCTTTACTTATTTCCTCAATTAAACTCATTTCGGTGGTGGTTGTTACATAACTTGTTTTTTTGCGTTGTAGAGTGGTGATTTTTGATATGGAGCGTTGTGACAAAAATATTTTTGACTACTGAAAGTAGTAATTTGAAGAATATTTCTACATATAGGTCAAATGAATGCACCGGCGTTCCTCCAAAATTTATTCGGCTCAAAAACTAAGTAGACTTCTCCTTAGAGTCTGTTCGGGTGTTAAATGATACTTAGAACCACATGCCTTTCAAATTGAGAACGGCAGACAACAGTTCAAGATTGAAATATCACACAATATTATTTATCCGTCTAATTAAAATTATATTTTAGTCGATGTAAACTTAATCACAACAGAAAAGAACTGATCTACAATTATTTCTCAGGACTAAATACGAGTGAACTATTCCAAAAAGTTGATTCCAAAGTGAATTTCCAAATCCATGTGCTTTCAAGCACATTATATCTGGGGTATAATGTACTTTTAAATGGATATTCAACTACCGTTCTCAACTTCTACAATAGTAAGAACGGGAGAGATAGCTTAGACTAACCATCAATATCGGTAAAGCGGATAGTTGAACAATTGACCAACAATTGTGAGTGCTGTGTACCTTAGTAGAGAATTTTACTGACACATGTTTAGACGTAGTTTCCGATAAAACGATTGAGAACTACCAAGAAAATCCTATTAGATAGTCACTCCCTGACACCCAATTTCTATATGCAAAAGGAACCCTTAAGGCCATTTTCCATGGACGTAAGATTAACTGAAAAACTACGGAAACTGCTGCAGACTTTATCTTTACCATATTCCAACCAATAATTATCAGGGAAAATTCAAAGTACTGAAGTATTTAATTGGTAAGAGTCATTTCCTTATTATACAAATAAAAGGCACTACCCGGATACGACGCTTACAAACGTTGTTTCAAGATGCTTAGAAAAGTTGAACAAAAATAGTACAGTAAATATACTGAAATTGTGAAGACAGTCTAACGTATAAATTAACACCACATGCAACTTACCATCTATAGTTGAGGAGTAGAAGAATATGAGTTGGAGTACCAGTAAGAGAAGAAAAACCAGGATAAATAGTTTGATGATAGAGGACTTCATTGGAAAAGCTAAATCCTTCACCAACCCCAAACAGTGAAGTGACTCACTAAACACACCTCCAAAAATCCACCTACTCGACCCTGACCTTCAAATTTTACAAATGTGAGCGTTTAAAAAAATCAACCTTGTCGATCGACTTACATAGGCCTTCTACTATTCATAGGCTTTGTAGAGCTAAAAAATGATCTCTAATACAGTTTTTGTCACTTACTATTCACTCTTTTGATGTTTTACTAATACTTACGGCACTGTATGTTCAGTCTTCAGTCTTCAGTAATAAGGATAGTAGGTTGATGAACCTGTGTTAATCCTGACACATTGCTTTCCAGTGAAGGTCCAGCTTTTCCTTGAAAGTATTCACTGATGGGGCTGATACCAGTTGTTCGGGTAAGGCGTTCCAATGATTGACTACTCGATGAGAAAACGGGATCTCACTTTAAGTTTATTAGATCGTGGTTTATGAACCTTCTTGCTATGACCTCGGAGATTATTAGTGCTGGAGGGAGCAAAAAAATGAGACATATTAACACCCGAATCATAATTAAAGATACGAAGTGCCAGTATAAGGTCATCTCGTGTCCTACGATACGACAAGGGGAAACGATTTAGGCGTTTAAACGCACATCGTAAGGGAGTCTAGAAAGACCCTTCACTAATTTCGTTCCCACACGCTGGACACGCTCAAGGGAGTCAGTATCCTTTACCAGACACGGGCTAGCTGCTTGGATACAGTACTCTAAATGTGGCCCAACATATATTGGATATAAAATTCGAAACGTGTCCTCGTCAAAAGATTTGAATCCTCGGCGAAGTGACCATAACGCACGAAAACCTTTGACAGCGGCTGCTTTGCAATGCGTAGTTGTTTTAAATCATGACTTAATATTACTCCTAAGTCCTTATGCTCTTGAACGCATGGAAGAGGTTTACCCTCAATAGTGTAACAGTAACTATTACCGTGACCGACGTGCATTAGTACACTCTTCCTAACATTGATTTCTAAGCCCCACTCTCGAGCCCATCTAACTAAATCGTCTAAGTCAGCTTGAAGATCCACATGATCAGCCGCACGTTTTATTGTTCTCCAGATTTTTACATCATCTGCAAACAATAATGTCTACAACCTAAGTAACAGTGGTAACTCATTAACGTAGAGAAGGAAGAGCAGAGGGCCTAAGATGGTGCCTTGGGGTACACCACTTTTGACCGGCTTCCAATCGGATAGCGTTCCATTGACCCTAACTCTCTGTCTGCGGTCACATAAGAAATTTCCTATCCACTCATGTACAGTACCTATTATTCCGAAGCTCGTGAGCTTCTACATAAGACCTACGTGTGAAACCTTGTCAAATGCTTTGCTAAAATCTATGAATATTACGTCGACAGACAGACCGTGATTTAGGGCTGCTGTCCAATCCTCCCTCGCAATAAGCAAGTTAGTCAAGCATGAACGCTTGTTACGAAATCCGTGTTGCTCAGGAGCTAACAGATTGTGTAAATCTATGTGGCTTAGCAACCTAACCCGAATTATCTTTTCGAGTAACTTAACGACTATGCTAGTTAGACTGACAGGCCGGTAGTTAGATACTATCTGTCGCTGACCGTCCTTAAATATAGGACTAACTATAGCGTCCTTCCAATCTCTAGGGAGTTGAACGAGTGAGAGGGACATGTTGAAGAGTGTCGCAAGCGGTTTTGAAATAATGTCCGCAAGAGATGACAGCAACCGTGGATGCAACCCGTCAGGGCCCGGTATCTTACCAGGTTTGAGGTTAGTTATCAACGGAAGGACAGTTTCCTCAGTCACCTGTACAGATTCAATGGTTGGTATCTCGGTGTGAGTGGGACAAGTATTTGTTACAATAAACGTAGAGAAGACTTCGCTAAAATAATCTGAAAAAGTCTCAGCTTTTGCTCAATCTGATTCAGCTAGTAATTCTGAATTTTCGTGTAACAGCAACGGGGGAATACCATCACTACGTTTCATTTGCCGCTTAACATACGAAAACAATAGTTTCGGACAAGTACGGCTATCATATACTAACTGTGGTTCGTAAGTGGTACGGGATTTGGCAATGGTTTTCTTACAGATATTACGGTATTTTTGGTACTCACGCTTAAATGGTGCATGACCTGTCAACAAGAATAAGTCCCAGAAATGTTTCCTACGCTTTAACAGCTTTCGGGTTTCCTTATCAATCCATGGAGGGCAATGTGATAGCTTACGTGCTGACCATGGGATAAATGGCGACGTTACGGACTCGAATGTAGCCTTAAACTTATTCTATTCATCTTCGATCAATCCATCCGCGTCGACCGACCAATCAGTCGAGATAGCACAGTTTCTGATTGCCGGAATATTGGCTCACCGGATATTGGGACGGGGTGGAGCAGATACGAATCGTATACCATGTGTCCTAAACTTAAAGTGAAGTACAACGTGATCACTATTCACTAGTGGGGGAAGGTGCTGGATGTCAAAGACATCCTCAGAGTGATGGGTGAGGGCGAGGTCCAGCACTGACGGATCATGTTGCAGATCAATATGTGTCGGTTTTGTGATACATTGTACAAGTGCACACTGAATAACAGTAGATAAAAGGTCGCTATCGAAACCACTACCTGGAGTTGTAAGCTCTATCCAGTTGTTGTGCGGTGCGTTGAAGTCCCCAATGATGAGAAAACATTATGCCATACTCCAAGAACAGATGTGTCTTAGGATAAAGTCGTCAGCAAGACAACACGGACTACGGTATATTCCCCCTATAGTCACTAACCCATTTCTAGATTTAATCTTACAACATGCTATCTCACATTATGCTTCCCCCCTTGCGACTTAAAACTCTATCACTTCTAATAAAGATATAGCCTGCCATGATGGGAGAATATTCTATATCTACGGTGAACCAAGTTTCTGTAACAACAAATATATCGGGACATAATTCATCCACCATCAGACTTACTTACTGTTAGGTTCGTTAACCTTGAGGATACTACTGATTCGATTTATTCGGAACGGAACGAAGGCTCAGGATTTAGAGACTCAATAGACTATTCTGGTCCGTTGTCTTCGACTCTGCTAACTCGATCAAGAAGTCTGGGTAAGGTGTAGAAAGTATATTCTACAAGCAACAGCAGATACCAAGTCAGGCAGGGAGATCAGATCAAGCATACAAGTCAAGCGTATTTATACAATTATTTACAATCGATATTGTCATAGGAAATTTTTAAACATTAATCAATGAGTTCATTAATTGACCTATTTGCGCATTTAATCGATAGTTCATCAATTGACTGCTATTCAAACATTTAATCGATCAGTTCATCAATTGACCCCAATACAAATATTTAAACGTTTAATCAATAAGTTGATCGATGCGATAAAATTCAAAATATGAGTTTGGGGATCTATCGTCCCCAACACTCCTCCCCTTTTTAATAGCGGGCTTTCCTGGGGTCAACCTGCATCTTGACTGTAGCTCGCCGTTCTCTTATAGGCCATCGTCTGGGACGTGTTTTAGATAGTTGTTGGGGTTTTTCTTGTGGTAGGGTTGCCGGTAAGTTGAAAGTATCAAGCAAGATGTCGAGAGGAAGATTTAGTCCTGTTGATGGGTGGTCTGGGGCTATCCGCTTACGTAGTTGATTTCGGTGTCTAGTCAATGTGTCTCTTCCCACCTTTACATTGTACATAACTTGGCCTAGTCTTCCGACCACACGTGCTTCGATCCAAGGACCATGATTTGCTCTGTAGTCTCGAGCGAACACAGGGCATCCAACCTCGTACTCTGGAAGCTTCTGAGATTTGGTCTGAGATGGTGGTGGTGTGGTTCTTGGGCACATGAGACTGTGGATCGTCCTCAGTTTCCTTCCCATCAGGATCTCTGCCGGGGACTTCTGCTGTGGTAGCATATCACTAGGTGTTGTTCGGTAAACAAACAAGAAATTCTGCAGTGTTTCTACTGGCGTCCCCTCCCCTTTCGACTTCATTAGAGCTCTCTTGAATGTATCCACAAATCTTTCTGCTTGTCCATTTGACTGTGGGTGGTAAGGTGGAGAGCGGAAATGCTTGATTGATAGGCGTTTGCAAAATTCTTGAAATTGGCTTGAGGTAAATTGCGAACCGTTGTCGGAAACAATTATATCCGGTAACCCATTGCGAGAGAACATCTCTGTCAACAGTTGCATCGTTTGGGTTGTCGTTGGTGGCATGACGGGAACGATTTCTGGCCATTTCGAAAAGGCGTCAACAACGACTAGATAGGTGATTCCATTAATGGGGCCTGCGAAATCGACATGTATCCTGGACCAGGGATACTCAGGCTGTGGCCATGGGACTGGTAGTATTTTCGCGTTACACTTAGCTGCTTGCTGACATTGTGTGCACTTGCTTACTAAATCCACGATATGTTGGTCCATGAGGGGCCAATAAGCATAGCTTCTGGCGATGGATTTCATTCGTTTTATACCAGGATGACCAGTGTGGAATTGCTTTAGCACCTTTGATCTTAGGGATTCTGGTACCACTACTCTATCTCCAAACATCAAGCATTCGTTTACGACACATAATGAGTCCCGACGGTGGTAAAGCTGTTTCAAGTCACCATCGAGTCCAGTCGGCGGCCAGCCATTTGTGACGTATTTCATCGCTCTCTTTATGATGGAGTCGTTCTTGGATGCAGATTGTATTTCAGCTGCTGAGACTGGCAAAGCACGAATAGCAGTTGTCAGGTAGCACTGCGCGTAGTCCTCTGTCATCAGGGAGGCAATAACTGTATCTTCGCCGGCCGTATGGTTTTCGCTGATAAGTCGTGACAAGGCGTCAGCCTGACCAAACTGTTGAGTGCGCCGATACTGAATGTCAAAATCATAACCCAGAAGTATCAAAGCCCATCGTTGGAGACGGTTTGCAGAATGGGCTGGAACACCAGATTTCGAACCGAAAATTGTGAGAAGAGGCTTGTGATCAGTGAGAAGAGTAAATCTTCGACCGTATAAGAATT